ACTGATTTAAAGGAAAATGAGCAAGAACAAAGCCTTAACCTTGCTGCCACGTCCAGGACTTGCTGTGTTCTATATTTGCGCTGCTTCTAACAGCATCGAACTTCCAGTTACCAGCAGACTGTTACGATTGTGTTTGCTTTGGGGATGACAAATTCTGACCTCTTGTAGAACCAATGGAAAGAATAATCTTTAGGTCCTACCTGTCCAGCACAGGTGTTGCAATTACTTTTCCCAAATTAATATGTGTCAAACCAAAGTCTGGCAAACTCAGCAAGTAGCTGATCTGAAAGTTTACTTCTCCTTTTTTTTTTTTTTTTTTTTTAAAACACTACAATAGCTTTGCTTCTTGTTCTGCTTTAATTAGCTTTCATGACGTTCTCCTTTTTTTTTTTTTTTTTTTTAAAGATTAAAAGCAGAGAAGACTCCACCTTTTGACTTAGTGACCAGAAAACACTTTTTGGACTTCATGCATAACCTTCATGACTCCTGACCCTCTACTTCTTGACATACAGAGAGTTCCTTATATTCCCTTTTTATTATGTTATCTGCATCTATTTTTTTTAAAGGTCAGTGCCTGCCATGTTTTCCTACCTTGCTTCCCAATACTATAATTTTAGTCCCAGCAGCAATCCTTTGTTAGCACTTCAATATATTTCAAATATTATATCTTGCCAGATCCTTAAACTATCATGCCAGGGATCTGAAGCTCTGTGCATGACAAATGTTCCTTTGTGGAGCTTTTGATGTGATGTCAAGCCACGCTCCGGAGACATTACACTGTGGATCTTTGATATCGCGCACCATGACAATGTCTCCTCCGTAGCTGTCACAGCCCCTGACTCAGGGCGTGCTGTTCATACTGTCAGTGCTCCAGGAAACACAATGTACCTGGGGTGTGTCAGATTCTGGTTGCGAAGACATATGGTGCCTGTAGTATAATCAGTAATCAACTGTGAATTTCTTAATCACTGCGAAGAAAATGATGCAATGTCATTAATTCTACCTGCACAACCCAGGAGAATATGTGCATAATTACCAATAATGACTTAGATCCGTGCACAGGACCAGGGCCTATTCAGGAAAGCTGATATTTTTAACCCAAATGCTGCAAGGTAAAGTGTACTTCAGAAGGAAATGACAATTTCCTGAATTAAAACCTGCAAAATTTGTTCTTATTTTTCCCTTTTCATTCCTTCATTACCATTGTAAAGATCAAATTGCATAAGATCCACTAATGTGTTGCTCTTTCATAAAGTCTTTGAGTCAGAGTGGTTGAAGCCAAGACTGCAGTACTTATCTTCCAATAGCACTTTAAATTAGGAATTGCCTACAACTAAAAAAAAGTCATTTGTTTTTATAAATATGTGACTGAAATACCTTGCAATACACAGAGCTCTCCAACAAGTGGCACTATTAAGACTATTCAAATTATGAGATTGATATGCAAATGAGATCTAAGAAAGGGATGTTGGGACATGTTTTACAATATTGGATTCACTTTAAAATCTCTTAAATTTACATATGAAATATGATTGAAATATATATTCATAATTCATCTATTCTGGAAAGTTTTGTGTTATCCAAAAAGAAACCACTGAAAAGTAGGTCAAGTGCCATAAGCTCAAGCACGCAGTCCTCTCTAAAGGGATGAAGTCACGGCAGTGTGGAGAAACCACCTAATTAAGACGTTAGTAAAGGTGATGTGTAACCAGGAACTTTGCCTGTAGAGCTGAGCTAAAGCAAGTTGTTGAATGTGTGTTGAGGATGGCATTGCCGCATTCACGGCAAGTTATCCCTTAAGTATTCATGGGTCAACTTCTTCACATTTATTCTTACCTTATTTTGTTGTTGTTGCTTGACAAATTATGGATTGTTTTGAGAGACCATAGATGACATCTTTTCAAATAACTCATATTTGTCTGGAATATATGTTTGGCTGCACTTCAAGAAAAATGGTCCAGAAATAGTTACACATACAAAAATTGAGGCATGGTGATAGTTTATTGCAATGGAAACAGGATCAGACTGGATTTTTTTGCTGGAATATAAACAGTTTGGGAACAAATTGGGAAGCCAAGGCATTAAAATGTAAAATAAGTGATATAAAAATAGCATTTCAAAATGGTAGGTTTCATTTGGTTAGTCTAATATTCCTTCTCTATTTGGAAAACAACTCTGTCAGTTTTTCCCCAGTTTTCTAGTGTTATATAGAGATATAATAATGCATAGTGTTGTATAGAGATATAATAATATGGAGAGATATAATGACCATAATAAAACCACAATCTGAGTGATATATGGGAGTGTGAACTCTGTCTTCTATTATAAGTTGATCGCAAAATTATTAATAATAATTTGGGTGCCAAAAGATGTATAGAGGTGCTTGGTGAGTTTTCCAAAAGCCTTTATGCCCAGTCCCTGCTTGGCTCTGGCTTTTTTCACTCTGTGCCAACCTTTGTCTTGCACAAGCGTGATCTAGTTCCCACTGAAGTCACTGCAATAAAATCTAAAACGGATATTTGCACTTTACTCTTCCTTTTAGCCAAATAGTAACATTAATTTTAAAACATTTATTTTAAAACATCACCCAGTAAGATAAACGGCAATTATTGTGCCTTTCAGAAACACATGCTATGAGTTACACAGTGTGCTTTGTTGAGTTTTCAACCTGGACAACTTTGACTACCCAGAGCCATATCTCCTGTAGTGTGGTCTAAGTAACAGAATATGTACACTTTGAATGCAGTGGCATAATGGGCACATAGCATGCTAACTAAACCATTACAAATGCTACATGGCTTATTTTTATCTCTCATGCCAGTACAAAATTCTTTTTGTGTTTCAGGGAAAAACGAGGCAACAAGAAGATTCAGCCCTGCTAGTATTTAAACACATGATGAGTCTCCTTACACACTGTGGGACTTTTCACGTGCTTAACACCATATATGTCTGCAGAACCAGAATCTAAATGGCACTTGTGAGCAAGGCTTTATATGATCATTACTTGGAAAAGGGACAGTGAAGTTTATGAGTCAAAATCTTCAGTGGGGTGCTATTCTGCAGCCCATGTAGCTACAAAAAGTAGGGATAAAATGCTATGGAACTAAATGCTTTTCACTTTACTTACAGACAACGGTGCAAAATGCAAGCTGAGGAGAACCATGCTTTTGAGAAGTGGTGATATATTTGTCCTTACATACAAAGAGTTGAATCTTTGTTGACAACATAGTTTTCTGTAGTTTAGCAGACTTTGAAAATGCAGGTAGCTCGATGAAGCTGCTGGAATTTCAGAAGACATCAGTGAGATAACTTCACAGGAATTGCTCCTCTCTAAAAGATACAGAAAACACAGTATATCATTTGTCTGTAGTGAAAGGGGGAAACAGAGGATGAAAATGTACAACGAAAACTGACAAACGCAGAAAAAATAACAAACATGCACATGTTAATTACTGAACGTGCTTTTGTTAGCAGTAGGTCACCATCATTCTTTATTGACATTTACTGCAACTGCAATTGCTTTTTCAAGACCACTGACCCAGGAAAATGTAACCCTCTAGTTATCCAACGCCCTTTAATTAGAGATGTCTCCGGAGATAATCTCACTCACGGCCCCTATTGTGAATCATTTATTCTCCAACTTTCCTTTTTATCAGTTGTCTTTCATCTTTATGTTTTACTGTCCTTGCCCGGCTGAGTAAGTCGGGCTTGTAGAATGCGGCTTATTCATCTACCGGTTCTCCCGACTGCATTTCATGTCCAGTGACATTTGGGGTCTCGCTCAGAAGCACTGGCTGCCGGCACCGGGATAATTTGCGGGAATCGCAGCTTTCCACTTGGCAGAAGGAGCCATGGCGCCAAGCCTCGGGGTGGGAATAGGGCTCCAAGCCGGGCGCTTTACACACACACACACACACACACACACACACACAGGCACACACCCCCCGGGAGGGGGAGAAGAACAACCAGCGGTCCCGCGCTGGAAGCACTTGACGGGGTTTTGTTTTTGTTGTCAGTCCCGGCACCGTTTCTCTCTCCGTGCGATGCCCGGCACGGCTGACTCATGACTGCTGGACGCCTGCGGTTCGCACTACAAGTAGGATGAGGTTTCTCCGCGAGGGCGGAGCGCGTAAAATATCGTCGGCATCAACACTGAGGCGGCCCCGCCGGCGGCCGGGAATGACCGGGGTGGGTGTTCTGTGCCCTGCCCTCCGCGCTCTGCGCACACCTCGCCGCCGCGTCGGCCACCGCGGCGGGACAACCCTGGGCCGTCCCCGCCGCCATGGCGGCCCCTTGCCGCGGACTACGGCTCCCAGAGCCCCCCGCGGCCGCCGGCGCGAGCCCCGGCGCGGGGTCCGCCGGCACGCGCGCACGCACGCGCACCCCCCTTCCCCCCCCACTCCCGCGGGAGGGAGCGAGTGAACCGGCTCTGCGCATGCGCAGCCCGCTGGCAAAGGGGCGGGGCGGGCGTAGCGCCGCCGGCGCGACCGCTATTCTCGGAGCGGCCTTACGCCACTCTCCGTGCGCAGGGCCCGCGGCGGGCGTAGGCGCGGCGGCGGGTGCTGCGCCCCTGGCGTAGCGTTGTTGTGAATGGAGCGCACGGCGGGGCGGGGAGGTGACGTCAGCCTGCGAATGTCAACAATGTAGCGATTGAGGGGCGGGGGCGGCGCTGGGCCGGGGCGCGGGAGGCGGCGGCGGCGGCGGCGGGCGAGAGGGCGGCAGAGCCGGGCAGCGCAGCAGCGGCCGCGGCAGCAGCAGCACAGCAGCGCCGCCTTCTTTCCTCCGCCTCCGCTGGCCGGGCTGCCACCGCCGCCGGCCCCGGGTGCCGCTCCGGCAGCGACACAGCCCGCTGCGGTGCCGCTCCCCCTCCCCCCCGCGTCCCTCCCTCCACCCGCCCTCCCTCCGCTGCGGCTTTCTCTCCTCCTCCCCCCCCCCCCCCCCCCCCCCCGCGTCCCTCCCTCCACCCGCCCTCCCTCCGCTGCGGCTTTCTCTCCTCCTCCGGCCCCCCTGCCAGCCCTCCCCTCCTTCCCTCCCTTCCCCCTTTATTTTTCTCCGCAAGACTTTGGCTCTGGAAACAGCTGGTTCAAAGCAATCGCCATGTGATGATCGTCTGGGTCGGGTTTTTTTTTTTCATTTGGGGGGGGGAGGGTGCAGGTTTCTGACCGCAGAGAGATACTAATAAGAATTTCCGAAACAACAGCAGCAGCAAGAACAAGAGCAACCCCCCCCCCTTTCCCCAAACCTCCTCAGCCGTAACAGTCCCCCCACCGCCCCGCCCCGGGCCCACTCCACCCTGCCCCACCGCCTCCCCTCCACCTTCCCCCCAGGCTGCAGCGACAGGGGCGACCCCCGAAAGTTGCGCGGAGGCGAGGTGAGTGCGCCTGTTCCGCGGCTCGGCAGCCCCGCTGGGGAAGGGGAAAGGGAAGGGGGGGGCAAAGTTTGGGGGGAGGCTGGCTGGGCGGGGGGGCAGCGTTGTTTTCCCCCTCCTCCTCCTTGTCCTCCTCCTCCTCCCAGGAGCAGCAGCTGTTGCGCGGGGTCAGGCGAGGGGCTGCACCCCCGCCTCTGGAGCTCCGCGGGCTGTGCAGGCGCGCTTAGTGCTTATTCCTTAAAGTGGGAAATACGCGCGTTGCGTAACGGGGAGTGCGCGGCGGGCGCCCCGGTTCTGGTGCGTGAGCCCGTGCGCGCTCCCCCGCGCCGCGCTCCGCTCCGCACGACCGGAGGCCGGGGCAGCCCCTCCGCCCGGGGCTCCCCCGCCGCCTGCCCCCGGCCCCGCCGCCCGACCACCTGCAGCCGCTCGCACGGGCGCCGTACCCGCCGAGCCCCCCGCTCCCCCACGTTCCCGTAGGTCCGGAGAGGGATGCGAACTCCGGTAACAGTTCCTGGGATGGCGAAGGCGCGGCGTGCGCGCAGGGCAGCGCGCCGCGGAGACGCTGGCTGTCACGGAGGAAGCTGAGTGTGAAATCGTGCCTCTCCTTTTGTGGAGCGGGCTATTTTGGTCATGCAGCGGGTGTCTCGCTTAAATCGCTTCAGTTGCCGTGAGATCATTGTGCCCTTGTTGGTGAAGCCCCGGAGACTCCGGAGTAAACCCTGGGTTTCAGTCTTTAATAATAAACGTGAGACAGGGGCGACATCTGATTATAAATACTCCTTAGGATGTTGGAAAGATTGGGAAATTACAGCGTTGCTGTTTGCTCCAGTTGAAGCCATGTCAGGGTTTTCCTGATGAAAGCCTGTTTTCAGAGACTTTGGAACTGTCGCTAAACTTGTGCATATTTTAATTTTGTGTTCTGAGACTCGAGCTGGAAACAAGTCGGAATTTTTATGAGCTGGGAATTGTCTGAGATTCTGCGGTAGCTGGTGGAATGCTCTGTAGTTTGAGGAGGGTGGTGATGCTTGGGTAAATTGACTTTTTCAGGTATGTAAATACTGAAACTTGAGATAATTGCGTTTGATGAGATGGATAGACTAAAATGATAAGGTGGTGTGTTACACTGTTGCCACAACAGCCCTATAGACAACAGCTTTAAACCGCTGTTCTAGGAGCCTTACATCTGACAAATAGAAATAAAATTCCACTTTAGATGTGGGCTTGCGCTTTTAAAAGCCTGTGTTGCCTTTTGTATCCACCCGTCTGCCCCCTGTCACTGAGATCTGGGCAGTTGTGTGGCAAAATGGATCGGTGTTGTACTTCCCTGTGGTGTACTGAACCTGTGCTTTCAGCAACGTTTTTCACATTTGACCCTCTAGCTTCAAAGGCTGTTCTGAAGGTGTTCTGCAAGGAATGGAAGGAAGCCGTGACTAATTGGAAAAGCAGAGAACTGAAAAATCAGGATCATAGGTCTAGTTTTCTTGTTACTTTCCTCTGTAACACTGAACGAGCCATGCAAACATGTACGCCTGTACAGTGAGCTGTCAAGTGGGCAAGAAAGGTCACTAGTGATTTTGGAAATAGGGTGGTTGTCAAGATATTTAATAATCTTTTGCAAAAATGCTCTACAGAATTAGAGTGTGCATTTCTGGGCAACTCTGGGCAAGTCTGGTGTGTGACTTGTGGTTAAACAACTAATTTTTTTAAAAACTTTTAGCACTGTGAAGAGGGGATGGGGAAGATGCGCACAGCAAATACATGACTAATGCATATGCTGACAGATCCCAAGTTGATAATCAACAGCAATTGTTTATACCCGGGTATCTCACGCTGAGAAACAGTGCTAGGACAGGTATTCCTAGTCCTTCTCTGACTCAGAGGCACATCTGGAACATCTGTTGGTGATAATGTGCATGCTGGCAGAATGCGCTACTAATGAAGGGGAGGAAGGCATCCCACCTACCTTCTTTACGGCAAGAAAACATTGGCTGTTCACTCTTCTGTACTGGGCAGCAAGGAAAGTTACGGATAAAACCTGAGTTACTAGCTGAGGATAACTGTTCAGATCACAATAGATAGCCATTGATGTAATGCTCCTAATATGAGGAGATTTTCGTAAATCTTTGACATTGTAAAAGGCTTCAGATACTCACTGAAATAATAAAATCTCTATATATTAATATTACATATCTCTTTCTGCATGTTCATAATAAATGACAAAGAGAGCCAAAAATAAAATCCTGTGTAGATGATGTGTAGTGTGAATATGTGACAGAAGTTGCTTGCCTTTGCTTATTTCAAAACTTTCATTGCTTGATTTTCTGTTCTGAAGTGCAATAGCTATTTTTCTTAATGAGGCTGCAGTGTGATTGCCAAATACTTATTTTCCTCAAGGTTTTCTCTAAAAAAAAGGTGTAATGAAAAATTCAGCCTTTTTTTTTTAAAGAAGAATAGAAATAGATATTTTCTCATTGTGTGCCTGTGACATTCTTTTTGGATAAGACTTCGCATATGCACAGATAAGGAGGAAACCTCTTAGAGTGTAGCTAAGAAACGTTTATGGCACTAAGCTGAAAAATGAGGTGTGTAATATGACTATATGCGAAGTAATCTTTTGGTACTAATGACATTTTTATGTAATAAATGTTTGGTGAAATTGAATAGCATTTATTGTGTGATGTGAACAGAGTCTCTTGTAGTTTTAATTTAGGTGGTATGAACATGGTTTATATATTCAAATCAAAATGTATGTGCTTTTTCACTTAAAGGAATGCTCTCTGAATGGCTTCTTAGTTTACACTAACAACATACCTGTAGTGTTGAGAAGATCTGACTTTGGTTTGAAGGCATGCATGCTTAAGTCTTTCACCTTTGTGTCTCAATTTCCAGCTCAACTCATTTTGCATGTGATGGTTGTATATTAATGGTTTCTGAGTTGAACTGTTAGGGGAAATATACCAATCATTCTGTTGCTGTGATGAAGAAAATTCAGATTTAAACTTTACACTTTCTCCAAGTCCAAGTTAGTCCTCCTGCTTTCAGTGTTCCTTCTGACTATAGATGCTGTAAGAGAATGTGTAAGAGCGTTGTTCTGATATTGCAGTTCTTTACTGATATTTCAGTTGGTGTCTAAATGATTTTATTGTAGTAGATGAACAGGCAGTAGAGTAACTCTAACTCCCTCAGGTTTCCCAGAACAGTGTTCAAACTACTCATTTAGGCTTTTACAAAAAATGGTCATCCCTTTAAATTCAGCCAAAAGATACTAACCTTGACAGCTGTCTGAACATTACGCATTCATTTGTAGCTTGCATCAAGAAGATTTAAAATGTATGAATATAGCCAGCTGAGTTGCAATGTGCTCATCTTGCTTTTTAGATAGGCAGAACCATCTTTGTAGTGGATTGAAAAGAGCATGGACTATGAATTACAATTCTAAAGCATAGAAGCAGGGAATGTATACAAATGCCTCTATGGCCAGTGATGGGCTCGCAGCTCCTGAGTTACTAGAACTAACGATCAAACAGCAACCACAGGTTCAGAACAGGTAAATAAAAAGGAATGAGGGATTAAGTTTGGGAAAACCCCTATACTAAAAGTTTGCATGTATGGCAGAAACTGTACAAAGAAAACTTTGATCTGTCAAAAATCGGGCTCACAAGACTCCTCTGCTTGATTGTATTGATCTTCATGCAGAAGGAGCCACAGCAACAACCTGAAGAACACCAGCTGCACTGCACTGGCATCTCAGCAGATCAATAGATGTGTCCCTGTTTGGCTTGAAAAAGGTTGTCTGTAAAAGCTCCTACTGCGGTGGGGGCTGAACTGCAGCTCCTGCGTGGCTGAGGGGGCTGCCAGGTATGCAACCCCTCTGTGCATAACCCCTCAGCCTTCCCCCCTTTGCTGTTTACACCTGCTGAGGTAAACCTGCCCCCAGAGCCAGCTGGGACACTCCAGAATCAGTGCCTCAAAGGAGACGGAGGAGAAGGTGGTGGTGGCTGCAGGGGCAAGAGTCATGGGGAGCTGAGCTATGCCTTTTTCTTCTTTTTAATTTGAAAGGTGACCTGAAAGGGTCAGATTCTCTCAGATTTATTCCTAAGACTTATTATTTGCATACAACTTTCTCTGCTATGGTATCAACTGAGGATGTCTAAAAAGCTATTAGGATCGAAAAATATGGGAATTTCCAGTTTATCTGTAGTAGGAGTTGAAATAGAAGCCCGAAGCTTTTTTTGTTTTGTTTTGCTCCTGTGCTTTGAAAACACTCAGCCGGGCTGTGATGGGTAGATGGGTTTTGGCGCACAGGTTCAAACGGAGTCTCCCCGCCAAGAAAAACAGGAACTGTTTGCTGCCTGTCACCACACAGGGCTTCTGGGCTGTGGAGCAGCAATTTCGTTTTTTGAAAAGAGGAAAAGCAGCTTAAATAAACAAATAAAATAGACTTGATCTCAGGTACTTACTATAGCTGACATCCACTGAGTTGTTTTTTTTTTCTTTTTTTAATTTTTTTTTTATTGGAGATTGCTTTAAAATTTAAACCTGAACTAGGAAAACAGGAACTGTAGGTGTGGAGGTGTTCCTTCACCCCGATTTGCATGCAGCCTGTTTTTTATTTAGTGGGTAGGTGTGTTCGGTGTATGTGAGAGCAATTGAACATGTCAGCAGTTTCCTATGAGCTGCTCTTGCTGACTCACGTGTCTGGTGCAGCTTGGAGCTACCCTGGCTATAAACTATCCACAATAGGAGGCGCGGGCGGAGAGACCGTCAGTGCCGAACCGCTGTTCAAAGGTTATTTTCAGTTCTTCGGTCACTGCTTTGCTGTGGTTTTCTTCCCCAGTAACATCAAAATACACTGTCATTTTGCTAGGCTGCTATTCCTCTAGGTGGATAGGGTTGTGTTCGAAGCGCATCTAGATTCTATGGATGTTCAGCAGACTAAACCTCTGGGGTTTATTTTTCGTTTTTTTTTTTTTTTTTTTGTTTTTTTTTTGTTTTTTTTTTTT